TGAACCTGCTTCCCAGCAAAGACAGCTCTGCCAAATGAGTTCGCTTGCCATTTTGTTGCAGAACTACTTTTAGTGAATTTGCAGCCAAGCATGCTAAAGACTCGAGATTCAAGGCAATTGAAAAGATGAAAGATCGAGAGGCCTTGTTTAATGAGTTTATCACAGCGGCAAGAAAGAAGGAAAAAGAAGACTCGAAGACCAGAGGTGAGAAGGTAAGATGACTTTTTTTAGTTCCAGCAGTATGAATGATGTGAGTCTGAGTGAGATGGGACAAAGCCAGTGCTTGGTTTCCAGCGTGCCTTCTCTGAGACACGGTCCTTCTCTTTTGTAGAGGTTTTACAATGTAAACACTTCACAGATGTCCCCTTGGTCTTTCTGAAGTATTTTAAGTTTGCAGGTATACTGACTTTTAGAGTATATATAGAATTGGACTTACATTTATTTGAGAAGCCGAATTTACTTAAATAATCGCACTTTTTTTTTTTTTTTAATTTACCTAAGCAAGTAACATTATATTCTTAACTGGAATAATGCCTGATTTTTTTTTTTTTGATTTTTTTTTTAAATTATATTATTCTGAAGCATTAAAAGGAAAAGGATTCTTGTCCTGTTTGGCTGGAAACCCCAGAACTGGCCATTACCTTGCTGTTCTCTCAGTGGAGACAGTAAGAACTTGAAATTTTCTGTAGGATACGCCGTTTAAATTTCAAACAGCCTCCATATCTTCTCTTTCCATCTAAAAGCTAGCACGTTAGTGACTTTTTAATCTTTCAGTAAATATATCTTATGTATAAACTGCTGCTTATTAGAATGAAAGGTCAGCTATTAAAGATTAATGAATTCCAAATGTCACTTGACCATGTTGTCAATAGCAGGGAGCAGGCTTTCACCACTGGGAAAGGAGGCTACCATGGAGTTCACATCAAATATTATCATCAAAATATGCAGCCATTTACTTACATGTCCCTGTGTGTTGTGCGAGTGGAGAAAATAACATCTAAAACCTAATCGTTTTTGACATTTTAAAGTCTGCAATATTTATTTTATAGTATAAAGTTATTGCAAATTTCACCTAAGAATGCTTATAGAAGAGAAAAATGCTGAATAGCAAGTTAGATTTGGGGACAATTTCATTATTGGATAAGTTTTGCATATTTTTTTTAATCTAGGTACTTTGGTCTAATTTGATTTTGTATTCATTTTTTTCAAATGTTGACTTATTGCTGATATTTTCAATAAATGATTGTGGTTTCAGAGGAGAACTGATGCAGTTCAAAACTAGACTTTTACACACTGCATTTTGATTATGAATATGGAATTTTTAAGCATTCTTGCAGCTTAATAGTGCAATTGAAGACTTTAAAAAAAAAGTAAATATTTGTTGTTGCATGATTGTTCTAAAGTTGAAAAGTTAAAAGAAGAGAGATTGTGTTTGTTTGCTTTTGAAATAATGTTTTTTCTCCAAAAGCCTTTTGTAACCATTTTATGTATTCTGTTTTATAACAAGTGGATAGACTTTACAGTTATGTGCTGTGCGGCCTGTCAATCAGTTCAGTCTGACAGCTGTCAATCACTGACACGCAAATATTATGGGATTCCCTAGTGAGGAAAGAATTGGTATCTCTGTGTGGTGACTTTAGCCTCCCGCAGTTCCGGTACTTTACATTTTTTTAGTTTTTTTCCTTGTGAAGTGATGAGAGTTGTACCTGCAATGTGTTAACTGCCAAAACAAAAAAGACTTCTAAATACACCTGAAATATTTTCAGTCTTATTTTCCTTTGATTTTGAAAGTGTTTAAAACATAAAAGAAAATTTAAGGCATTTAACCTGAAGCTTTCTCAGTCTGTTTTAAAAGTCCAAAATCTTTATTTAAGGAGGATCAACTTTACAGAAATCTTTAACGTAAGGGTTTTAAATTATATAATGTTTTGATTTTGCTTCATTGAGTTACGGCTTACTGGATGGTGATGGAGCAGCCAGCTTTTCAGATGGTTGTGTTTATTCATGTGGCTAATTTCAGTAATTTGAGTAAACACAATGCTGCTATTTCCCAGATGGCCGAGATGAGGAAGTACACTGTGGGTTTGAGGATATTGGGAAAGGGGCTATGAGCTGGTAACAGTGACCAAGCGGCTCAGGTACTGTCCCGGGACACAGCATTGTTCCATGTCCTTGAGATGAGCCGTGCCAGCAAATGAGCCTGACGTCCCACTTTACCTAGACTTACTGGAATGTTCAGCTGCACACGTCCTGCAGCCCACAGTGCCGATGGCTGTCTCACCTGTCATCTGTCCTGTACGAAGATCTCCTAACGGTTTTCTAAAATAGTCTAGGCAATCTAGTTACTGTGTATGCATATACTAAACTTGCAACATCAGAGAGCTATAATTGTAAAAGATTATTTCTTGGTGAGATGTTTTTGGCTCAATTTTTTGAGAAGTTTTTGCCTTGTTTTGAAATTGAAAACCAAATTGCAATACCTGCGCTACATATGTTGCGGATGACTGAAGTTAAACCCATGCTTTAAAAGCATTGAAGGTCTGGAAATGTCATTCGTTTTTCTCGGGAAGGAGTTGGCAGTACCCTCCTGGTTTTCGGCTGAGTCGGTGGCTGGTGAAGCAGCAGATGGCCCAGCTGGCATCTGTACAGTAGTGCTCGAGCTCTGTACTGAGCAAGCGCACGGCTCCTCAGGGAGCGAAGCGGGTGCTGCTGGTGGCTCCTGCAGAAGCATCTTCCTCCAGATTGAGGTGGTGTTCTTAGGTCTGGTTTTGTATTGCCGCTGGTGCCACGGTGCTTCCAGCAGTGTTGCAGGTATGCAGTTTTTATCCTGTGGAATGTGTGT